AATCTTCAGTTTAGCCCCGGAAGGGCTCCTGTTCCAGAGGTAAGCCCACAGAGGGCTCTGAATCCTCAGTTTAGCCCAGGAAGGACTCCCGATCCCCTGTCGAGTCTAGGAATGGCTCCCGATCCCCTAGTGAGCCTAGGAATGGCTCCCGATCCCTAGTTCTGCCCAGGAAGGGCTCCTTATTTCTTGTTAAGCCCAGGAAGGGCTCCTGATCCCCAGTTCGGCCCAGGAAGGGCTCCTGATGTCTCGGTTAGCCCCGGAAGGGCTTCTGATTTCTTGTTAAGCCCAGGAAGGGCTCCTGATCCCCAGTTCGGCCCAGGAAGGGCTCCTGATGTCTCGGTTAGCCCCGGAAGGGCTTCTGATTTCTTGTTAAGCCCAGGAAGGGCTCCTGATCCCCAGTTCGGCCCAGGAAGGGCTCCTGATGTCTCGGTTAGCCCCGGAAGGGCTTCTGATTTCTTGTTAAGCCCAGGAAGGGCTCCTGATCCCCAGTTCCGCCCAGGAAGGGCTTCAGCCCAAGAGCTTTCTCCAGTACCCGCTCCTCAAAAATTCCCGCCCTCCCGCCTGCTCCAGCCTCCTCCACCGCTGTCGTCTGGCAGCCCCTCTGCTCGCCCTCAGCCCACCATCATTGCGGTGCGAGCCCCGCGGGACTGCCATCCTCCAGCGTTGCCGGGGTTGGAGTCTCCCTCACCTCTGCCTCCAGCCTCCGAGGCCCGGACTCCACCTTGGCCCGTAGACCCAGTGGCTCCACCTCGGCTCCTAACTCCCTCGCCTCCACCGTCACCCATCCATCCATCAGCTCCACCAGGCTCCCTCGTCCCTCTAGCTCCGCCTTGGTCGGGCGTCGACCCGCCATCGCCTCTGGACTCCACTCCTCTGGCTGCACCTCGTCGCTCTGTCCCACCGGCTCCGTTGGGCTCCTTCCTCCCGCCAGCTCCACCTTGGTCCTCAGTCGCTCCGGCTCCGCCGCGGATCTCCGGATCTCTGCCTCCGCCTTGGTCGCCAGAGCCCTCGGCTCCACCCTGGCCCCCCGGATCCTCAGCATCCCCCTGGCTCGTTGGCTCTCTGTCTCCGCCTAGGGCTCCTCTACCACCTGCTCCACCGCCGTTGGTCAGCCCCTGAAGTCGGTGGCCATTTCTCCTCCATGGCTCCTCCCTCCATCGGCTCCACCGTGGGCCGCTATTATGGCTGTGGCCTGGGTCCCACCTGGCTCCTCCTGTCGTCTCCCTGGCTCCTCCCTCCATCGTCACCTCCCTGGAATCTATTAGCCGTCCTCCTCCTGGAAGTCCGTCCTCCGCCGGAACCTCCACCTGTCTGGTCTGCCTGCCAGCCCTTTGCCTTCCCCTGTCACCATCTCACATCCACTGCTTTGTCCTCCTCCTATTCCCCCTCCGCCCCTCCCTCTGTTTCTACGGTGCGAGGATGCACCTTCCGGGAGGGGGGAGTAATGTAACGCCCCTGTGGACTGTTTATAGTGATTTCTTCCCCTTTTGTTGGTTTAGCCCGTACTAATCATTAGTTAATTACCCTCATTGTGCTCACCTGTCTGCCACTAATTATCCACCCTATATTAGTTCCTGTCTGTCTGACCTTTAGTTGTCAGTTATTGTGAATGTTACCCAGAGTGTGTGTGTGTCTCACCTACCTGAATCTGCCTTGTTGTGTCTACATTAAAAATCATTATTGGAATCCTTGTCGTACTCGTTGTCCTGCCTGCCTCCACACACCGTGTCGTGACAAAGGGAGGAACAAGCATCACTATAATTTATAGCCCACAACTGTTGTATTTACACTGTAACTACATGGAACAAGGAGGTAACAAGCACATAACATGACTTAAACACAGAACAAGTGTAAATTTGCACAGTAATTACAGAGAAAATTATTGCACTAGTTTTAATTTAATTGTTTGATGGCCAAATTAAACCCTCTACTTTTTTTGCTATAAAAAACATCACAGTATGCATACACTGAAATACAAATGTTATATTGTGTATTGTTTCTGCGAACAGCTGGAAAGCGGTAAGCGACATGCAGTTATTTGGTGATAGTGGTGTTGGGAAGTTGCTGGTGTGACTCAGCTGAGATCGATGATTAAGCTTTCATAATGTAAGTAGATTATAAATCATAGCAGAAACTCATTAACTCATTTCACTAGATGTCCAGTTTTGTTTTTCAGTAATCTCCATCATGTATCCTTTAATAATAGAATGGTTAAAAAAAATACCTAGGCCTATAATAAAATAGGTCTACCAATATAAAATTATAAAAAGTATCGTCTTTCTAAATCACTCCCAAACATAAGATTGTTGTTTAGGCCATACATACCACGTATTAGAATAGGTACCCCTTAGTTTCAAAATACATACAGTATAAATGATTTGTAATTTTACAGGTTGTTACCCCTTTATTCCCCAAACGTCACATATTATTCCCTTATACCTACACGGAGGTACTGAATAGGTACACTATAATAAAAAATCTAAATCAAAAACGCTGTAACTTCAGTTTACTTATGCAGTTCTTTGCACGTTGCATATCTGGTTGTTACCCCCTTGTTACCCAAACGTAACACATTGTTCATTATACCTACACATATGTTCTTTTTAGGTACACTATAATTGCAGAAATGAACACCGTAAGTATACTGAATTTACGGTGTTCAGTATACTTACGTTGTTCTTTGCGGGTTGTAATCTAAAGTGTTACCCTGTGTTTAATGATTTGTTTGCTCAGAGTGCAAATGTTGTTCTTCAGCACCACTAGTGGACACTTTGCCTGGATGCAGCAAATTTTACCTGTGACATTTTAGGTTGTCCATAAATGTGCATAGTCACAGTTTTTTCTATGAGACTAGACAGGCTGAACCCATAGCTGCACTCTATATATATATACTGTATATATGGTTAAAAAACGATTTAATGTTATTCATTATTATTGTTAATGTTATTTAATGTTAAAGTTTCTATCCATGAATATTATATGATAATTGCAGCAGAGTAAACTGTAGCATTTCAGTCTGTAACAGTTTATCCCCTTTGCCAACACATATCTTGGTCGAACTTGACAGGTTGGGCTCTTCCGAAAGTCTGGGGTCAAATCCGTATTCAAAATTTAAGGGACATGGTGGAGGCTGACCCCGATGGCATGTCCTTTTACAATCAGTTGGCTTTTGATGTGGCCGACATGGTGAAGCAGTATTTCAGAGACCTGACTGAACCCATGTTCTCCAGCAAACTGTGAAAGTTTCTTGCACATCTACCAATGTAAGCCAAACTCAAGTCAAAACAAAATTTGTAAGTCAATAATATACTGTTGTTAAACCAAGTGTAACAAATTGTTGAATTTGATTGTTTAGAGATGAGCTGAAACATCTGTTCCTAATCCATTATTCTATATTTACTGTCTTTGATTTCCCTATACAGACTTTCCCAAAGATCAACAATTTGAAGGGGTTCAAGCAGCCATCTACCTTCTGCCTGACGAAAACAGGGAGGCCCTTCAAAGCCTCCTTCTCTTTCTCCAAGAGGTGGTCGCATGCGTCAAGGAGAATCAGATGACCGCTAACAACATTGCTGTTTGCTTGGCACCCTCCCTATTCCACATCAACTCTTTCAAAAGAGACAGAACCAGAACGAGGTAGGTCTAAGCAGTCAAAACTATAATCAGTTGCAGTGTAATGGTTTGCAATGGACATCCAATAAGCTAGCAAAAGCATTTTTTGGAACCAGCTCCAGATTTTCAATATTTCGTACATGACATATTTCAATATGTGTACGTATGAGAACAGCTGAAAGATAGATTCAGCAGGAAAGTGGGATTCATATTTCCAAATGAGGTCTCTTCTAACATTATTCTTGAGAAGATAAAGCATGTGTTCCACTACAACCACAACATGTTATCTAATACTTTTGGCTCTGAAGTATATTTTGTATAAGTATTATAAGTATTTTTTTTGCATATTGAGGGTAAAGAGGAAACTGAGAAAGGTGTGTCAGAGGTCTGCCAGGGTAAATATATCCAAAAGGCTTACTTAAAGGCAGTTAAAGAAACTTCCCCTATTTCTGCAAGCCAGCTGCCACTGAGCAAACAAGCTCTCTGTACCCTCCCGCTGAGCTCTGGATGCACTGCTATGCCCTGGCACTGCAGATAACTTTTCCATGCTTAGTTTCAACATTCTGCTATAAGAAGAACACTAGAAAACAAACAAATCAGCTGAATGTGTTGTGAAATGAAATGCAGGCAAATCCCATTCCTCATTTCAATTTTCCTTGACAAAAAACACAAGAGAACTCCAGTGTCTTATATCCAGTGTTGGGCTAGTTACTCAAAGAAAGTAATATTTCTGTCAGGACCACTATCGTCAAAGATGATTGACAATTAGCATACAGTTTGGATTGGCGGTAAGGTTCTGTTCTGGGCAAGAACTCCCTGCGCATCCATGCAGCCTAGCATGGATGAGAGCAGGGAGAGCAGCAATAACCCCCAGGGTAAACAGAACAGAACCAACATAAATATATTGCAGATATTGTTAAAGTTCAATAATTTTATGTACACATTTTAGAATTTGTCTGATTCAAAGGATAATCAGAAGGCTGAATCCTGACTGACAGAGGAGCTGGGGATGGAGGAGCTATTGAGCAATGCGAAAACTGCTGATAATACGACCTTATATATGAATGCTTAGATAGGTGTCATATTCCCATAGGTAAATGGGGATCAGCTGAGAGTCAGCTGATGCAAGCTTGACTAACGTGACCTGCCAGAACTAACGCTATGCTTGATATTACTCATTACTAGTTACTCATTTCAAAAGTAATATTGTTGCTTTACTTATTACTTTCTGGCAACAGTAATTAGTTACACTACTACAGGTGCATCTCAATAAATTAGAATGTCGTGGAAAAGTTCATTTATTTGGGTGCTTTACAATCCTCATAAGGCTGCGGTTCTCTCTGTTGGTTGTGCATCTTTTTCTTCCTCACTTTTTCCTTCCACTCAACTTTCTGTTAACATGCTTGGATATAGCACTCTGTGAACAGCCAGCTTCTTTGGCAATGAATGTTTGTGGCTTACCCTCCTTGTGAAGGGTGTCAATGATTGTCTTCTGGACAACTGTCAGATCAGCAGTCTTCCCCATGATTGTGTAGCCTAGTGAACCAAACTGAGAGACCATTTTGAAGGCTCAGGAAACCTTTGCAGGTGTTTTGAGTTGATTAGCTGATTGGCATGTCACCATATTCTAATTTGTTGAGATAGTGAATTGGTGGGTTTTTGTTAAATGTGAGCCAAAATCATCACAATTAAAAGAACCAAAGACTTAAACTACTTCAGTCTGTGTGCATTGAATTTATTTAATACACGAGTTTCACAATTTGAGTTGAATTACTGAAATAAATGAACTTTTCCACGACATTCTAATTTATTGAGATGCACCTGTAGTTACATTACTTTTTCTTCATGCCCCACAGAAGTTGTAACTGTGTATCTTCTAGGGCTGGGCGATATAGCAAAAACAATTATCAATGATATAATGTTTCATATCGTTCTGTATCAATAATTATTGACATGTTATAACCTTTTTTTTAAACAAAAAGCAATAGAAAAAAAATGTTTAAATTTAACCACTGTATTTATAATTAACACAATTTATTCAGACAAACATCCCACAGACTGCATTTAAAAACATATGAGACACAGTGAAAAGGAATAAACCTATATCCAGCTTAGGCTATTTTCCCTAAATTTGTATATATACTGTTTGAATGACAGCTTGGTAAATCTGTTGGCGATCAAATATTCAATATCGCTACTCATCATAAGTACTTGGTACATTATCAGCGCAGCGGCAGACATTCAAACTACTATCACGTAATTTACGTCTCTTTGATGATTGGTTGATATCAGAAGGGAGGCTAGCCTCCCCTACGAGGTTTCTTTTCTCAACACTCCTCAGAGCTAAAAGTGAACACTCGATGCTGATTGGCTAAATTTTTTTACCAATGGAGGCACGAGAGCTCATCTCTTCCCCTGCCTTCCCCTCCCCTTCTCTATCACCAAGCGGTTGCAATTACATCAGCAGATTCGGTACATTCATGATAGAAAAGCGGCGCTTTCACGTTATGGTATTACAACTGTGAAATTACAAACAGAAAATACACATTCTGAGACATGAACTGCAATTAATTGTGAATTTTATTAACATTAAATCGTCCTCCTCCCATTTTCACCTCAAAATTATGGGGAAGCTGTGCCTCCCCTGCCTCCCCCGACGAGCCGCCACTGCTCACACCGTATCTCGCGCGCCACTGCTCACACCGTATCTCGCGCGCCACTGACACTCCCTGATGCACTCCTAATATTCAAATGCAAATGTTTATTTTAAATTCGACTAATAATCATTCTTTATTCTCAATCTCCTCATCACAGGCAGGCACAGCACTCAATTCAGCATGTATTCGTGTTTGTGTGTGCTGTCTGCGTCACTCATAGCACGTGCCTATATCGTGCGCTATGTCGAACATTTTTTATATCGATATCGAAGAAGGTGTACCGTCGATAAATACTGATAAAGTTTTATCGCCCAGGCCTACTTCCATATAAAATTCTAGTGATTGATAGTAACATTGTGTTGCATTAATCTCATTAATTGTCATGGGTAGCTTGAGGATAATTGTAATTTCTCCGTTACCCATATACGATTATATTTTATTATGTATTTTATCAAATCACATAAGCGCCACTGACACTCCCTGATGCACTCCTAATATTCAAATGAAAATGTTTATTTTAAATTCGACTAATAATCATTCTTTATTCTCAATCTCCTCATCACAGGCAGGCACAGCACTCAATTCAGCATGTATTCGTGTTTGTGTGTGCTGTCTGCGTCACTCATAGCACGTGCCTATATCGTGCGCTGTGTCGAACAGTTTTTATATCGATATCGAAGAAGGTGTACCGTCGATAAATACTGATAAAGTTTTATCGCCCAGGCCTACTTCCATATAAAATTCTAGTGATTGATAGTAACATTGTGTTGCATTAATCTCATTAATTGTCATGGGTAGCTTGAGGATAATTGTAATTTCTCCGTTACCCATATACGATTATATTTTATTATGTATTTTATCAAATCACATAAGTTTGTAAGAAACTTTAATTTTCCAAAAAAAAAATATATATACATAGTCATATAATGTACCACATGCTGATCAGAGGGATGTGGGTGGGATGTAATGCCAAAGTAAAGTAAAGCCACAACTTGCACAATAATGCTCAGATCATCTTTTTTCCCGACAAAATCAATATAATGCAATATATTACATCTGCTGAATGTACGCTTTTCCATTTTCCAAGCTTGTCTGCTGCACTGGGGACATCAAAGGCATGTGCGAGTCCTGAAAATTATGAAAATAAATCTAGGAATTATTTGAGTGTTGGATTTTAAATCAGCCTGGTTGAGGCATCAAAAGTAACTAAGCTGTTTTATGGATGGTAACTGTAATATTATTACTGAAATCTTATTAGTAATTAGTTACACTACTAGTTACTGCAAAAAGTAATATTATTACAGTAACTAAGTTACCGCGGGATCCGCCCGAATAAAACGCGGTAGCGATCGGTAACTCTGGTGTAATTTGAAGGGGAGCGAGCGGTCTAACAATATCCCGTTCCTGACGTCCATTTAGAACAGCATATCTGCGCTTTATTCTTATTCACCACTGGTACAGCTTGCGCTCAGGACTGTTATGCACGCGCTGCAAACATGCTTTAAACGTCACGCATCTTATTTACATTGTCTGTGCGCAGCATGTGCATAACGATGCTCAGAGCAGGCTGTACCTGTGGTAAATATACGGCCCTCAGACAGAACAGGCAGGTTGTCGATGAGTGACAGAAGCAGAATAAGGATGGAGCAAAGTGTGGATTCGCTGTCCTTGACGGACGTTCAACTCGCTTTTGTTTATATTTTGCTAAGCCTATAATTTTAAATGAAAGATGTTGTATTTATTTATTTTTCTCTGCGACACTTTTCCTACTGTGTTAACAAGAAAATGTCAAACCAATTTAGTATTTTGACAAGACGAATAAAAATAGCTAATAGGCTATTTTTGTACAACCTACATTTTTATTTTGTACATTCTACATTTTTACCTACACTTTTTCCCTATTGTGTTGTCAATGTTAAACGAATTGGATCCTGACAAGACGAATAAAAATAGCTAATAGGCTATTTTTGTACAACCTACATTTTTATTTTGTACATTCTACATTTTTACCTACACTTTTTCCCTATTGTGTTGTCAATGTTAAACGAATTGGATCCTGACAAGACGAATAAAAATAGCTAATAGGCTATTTTTGTACAACCTACATTTTTATTTTGTACATTCTACATTTTTACCTACACTTTTTCCCTATTGTGTTGTCAATGTTAAACGAATTGGATCCTGACAAGACGAATAAAAATAAGAAATAAAATTTTTGTACAACATTTTTTGTATTTTCTCTGACACTTTTTTTCCTACTGTGTTGCATAAAATATTAAACAAATTTAGTGTCTTAAGATAATTCATATGAATTCAAGTCAAAGTCAATAAATTCAAGACTCTTGACAAGAGGAATAAAATAACATACAATTTTGTGCAGACTACACTTTTATTTGTCAGCCTATCTCTCTTTCTTTCAGTAGCGGACATTTAAATGTGAGATTCTGGCAAAGAGATCTAAATTTAGATTTAATTTAAGAAAATTATTCTAAGCAGACAAAGTGTGAATATATAGCGGGAGCGGCTGCGGAATAGAACCTTGCGGAAGCGGGACTAAAAAAACAGTCCTGTGCAGACCTCTAGTGTGGAGCACTGGCTGTTGTCAGACTCCGTGTGCAAATAAAAATCTCACTGGAGTATTACAATTAATGGCAAAATGAATGTTTGGAAATGTAAATTGATATTTCCTACTGACACACTTCAGCAAAAGATAACTGACTTAAACTGACCGTCTCTTAATGCATTGTGTGGCCTTCTTGAGAATCAGTACATGTTTTTATATTTTGTGATAGTTTATGAGTCCCTCAATTGTCCACAGTGTTAAAAGGTGGATTTCAAAATCATATAGTCAGTGTTAGATAGGGTTCAAATATGCAGAAGATGCTGGAAAACCAAAGAATGTGCAGGAGCTATAGGATTTTTCTGAAGAACAGCAGGCAGTTGAACTGCTCAGGACAAACAAGGGACTCATAAACAACTATCACAAAATATAAAAACATTTGTGGATCATCCAGGAAATGACACATAGTAATAAGATTCAATGGGGTAATTTGTTTTATAAATTCAATTATTATTTTGTCTTGTGGAGTATATGTGAATATCTGTTATGTGGAATAGCTTATTCGGGACAGTACTAAAAAAAATAACATGCAATTTTCATGCCTCAAGAGGTAGTTGACACCATCACTTCAGCGAGCGCACCGTCTACGAGACACGCCTACGCTTTGAAGTGGAACCTGTTCGTTGAGTGATGTTCTTCTCACCGAGAAGACCCCCGAATATGCCCGATCAGAGTCATGCTGTCCTTTTTTCAGCAAGGGTTGGAGTGAAGGCTGTCTCCCTCCACCCTCAAAGTTTATGTCGCTGCAATCATGGCTAACCAAATAGGCGACCCCGTAGAAGGGAGGTCGCTGGGGAAGCATGACCTGGTCGTCAGGTTCCTTAAGGGGGCGAGAAGGTTAAATCTTCCACGGCCCCCCTCTATACCCTCTTGGGACCTGACTCTAGTGCTCACAGCACTACAGCAGGGCCCATTTGAGTCTTTGCAGACGGTCGAGCTGAAATTTCTTTCGATGAAGACTTTGCTCCTGCTGGCATTGGCCTCCATCAAGAGGGTAGGGGACCTGCACGCATTTTTGGTCAACGATTTGTGCCTAGAGTTCGGGCCGGCTGACTCCCAGGTAACCCTGAGGTCCCGGCCCGACTATATGCCAAGGTTCCCGCTACTCCCTTCAGGGATCAGGTGGTGAACCTCCAAGCGCTGCCCTCGGAGGAGGCAGACCCAGCCCTAGCTTTGCTGGATATCTGTAGAGCTGTGGGCTGGACGACCCCTAACACCTTCGCTAGATTCTATAGCCTTCGTGTGGAGCCGGTATCCTCCTGTGTTCTCACCTCAAACGGGTAGAAGCACTGAGAGGCCCCCGGCTTCGGGTCGGCTTGCAAAAACCACTCCAGAGAGTCCATATAGTAGACCCTGTTGAGCTCCTCCGTCCCCTCGGCAGCCAGACATGGCGGAGCGTCTGGCGCCAGGCCTTCACTCGTTGAATCCTCGAGAACAGGTAGAAGGCTGGGTTCCATATGTAAGGCCTATGTGGTCCCATATGTGTAAAGTCCACGGTATAGCCTTGAGCCCGTGTTTCCCCGGCAGACTTCTGCCATTCCAAGAGGGTTACAATCACCTCCATTCTTCCATATGCACCCAAGGAATGTTCATATGTGTATTGCTTCCGAAACCTCCTTCGG